CATTTGAGTATTAACAAAACTCAGGTCTGCTCTTCAAGTCTGTGTTCTTGAACATGTATCCCGCTTGCTTCTGTGTTTCTTTGATTTCCTTTTTTCACTGAGGGGAAGACGATGTTCACTCTTGAACACCTTTCTAAATAAAGTTAGAAAAAAATTCAATATCTCCTCTCCTTTAACCGCCCAAGATTCAGAATCTCCCTGTACTTTCTTGTTGAGTTACCCCCCTCTATCTCTATATGTATTTCCTTAACATTAGGTGGCTAAGGAACTTCAAACAGGGAAGGACAGGACGAAAATGAGCCAGTGAAAATGAGAGAAAAATAAGCGTCAGGAAACTAGGACTTTATTAGTGATTCAGTGAGGGTGAGTGAGAAGAGTCAAAACAGCTGTGTTTTGACAACACAGACCTCTAGGCTGTGGCCCCATCCATCAAGATAGTCTTATTTCTTGTTATTCTGATTCCAGTTCCATAACTGATTAAACCAGTGGGCAAGTTACTCAACTTACTAACTTACTTTCTCTCTCTCTCTCTCTCTCTCTCTCTCTCTCCCCGCCCCCCTTTTGCTTGGGATTTTGGGCCACACCCGGCGTTGCTCAGAGACCACATCTGGCTCTGTGCTCAGGAGTCACTCCTGTAGGGCTAAGGGGCCTGTATATGATGCTGGGTTTTGAACAAGTTTCACAGCTGCAGTGCGTTAACTCTTGTACCATCTATCTGGCCTTCAATCTCTCTTTGCCTCAGTAATATGTTCTCATCGGGTTATTGTGAGGATGAAGAGAAAATGCATATAAAGTGCTAGAACAGGGCCCAGCATGTAGTAAGTTCTCAGTAAACATTAGGTACGCGAAGTTAAGTTTCCCAGTCTACAGTTTTAACAGAGCTGCCCATCTTCATTCTCATACTGACCAAGTCCTTGCTCATGTTACTTCTCTCTGTTCTCCACCATACATGCCTCAATAGTCTACTCTGTCTCCTTGTTCTCTGGAAGACCTTCTGCTACTAGTATATATATTCAACTCATTCTGATTAAGTAACAATGTTGTTTTGGTCATGATCCATTTTATACATTTATGTCTTCTTCTCTAGCACAGAAACTGTTTCCTAGTGTGTGTGTGTGTGGGTGTGAGTGTGTGTGTGTGTGTGTGTGTATGTGTACCACACCCAGCTGTGTTCAGGGCTTACTCCTGGCTCTGTGCAGAGGGTTTACTCTTGGAGATGAAGGGGGACCATGTGTGATGCCTGAATCAAATCAGGATTGGCCAAAGGCAAGTTCCTTAACTTCTTTCCTATCTCTCTGGCCCCCAGATTGTGTGTGTATGTGTGTGTGTGTGTTTTACAGTGCCTATTATGTTGTTACCTTGTCATGTTCCTAATCCTGCTTGAAGAATGAAAGTTTAAGGGGTAAACTCAGATAGGGGGATCTGAGTTCTGGGCAACAAAATAGGTCACCTAAATCTTGGAGCAGCATTTCTCCACTCTGCCCTCCCAGTTTGCAGAGTTCTTCCAGGATTATCACAAAATGATCTGTATATTCTCTAATCAAGATTATCTCAAATAAAATTATAAAAAATGGTAAAAAAAAAAAAAGTAAGGTAGACGTGGAGTTCATGCACAATTCAATCAGTCTAATCAGTGGCTGAATAAATAGCAGTACTCCTACATAAAAAAAGACTATCTCTAAATTATACATTAGTTCTAAACCCCAAATCTGTCCCACAATATATTGTGAAGAAAGAAGTGTTAGGAAATCAATCATACAGCAATGCAAGTCCACTTCCAAAAAGTTTGGGGACAGTTGTTAATAATTTAGGTAGAACAATGAGGAGAGAAGCATCAACGGCAGCAAGAGATAGATGCAAAAAAATAGAAAAGATTGGTAACACCTAGTCCCTGGGTCCCACCTGGCATAGATGCTGACCTCCATATCCACCTGGCAGGGAGATACCATTAGCTCCAGCAATACCTAACTTCCCAGCCAGGCCTTCCCCCTAATCCTCACTGCCTGTAATTTTTTTGCTGGGGAAGGGTAGGTACACCTGGTTCTACTCAGGAGTTCATCTACATACAGTACTGGGGATCCAGTGGAATTAGTCACATGCAAGGCTTATCTCCTGTACTGTCTCTTGGCCCACCTCACTGCCTGTTTTATTGATGAGGTGTTGCAACTGGCAATATTGTGGCTAAGTGTCTTCCTGGCCTATTTCTTGGATATCATGCTCTTTGGCATTTGAGGGAACTGATCTCTCTTTTTTTTTTTTTATCATTTACAGCAAAACGAAAGAGTTGGAAGAGGCTCAAGGAGATGAAGACAGTAAGAAACAGAAGTCAGGGATGAGCGAAGAAGAACTTCAGGCATGAGAAGTAGATAGGATGTAGTTTAAGGAAGACCAAAGTACCCAATTCCCCGTTCAACTTATTAAAGTGCTGGAAATCGCCAGCAAGATATTTTTATGGCATAAAGTCTTACTTTGGGTGAGAATTCGATAAGAACAAGGGACAGGGCTGAAGTAATAGCATAGTGGTTGCATGCTGTGCATTTACCTTGCATGCTGCCAACTGAGTTCCATCCCCAGTATCCCGCATGATCCCCCAAGCCTGCCAGGAGTGATCCCTGAGCACCACAGAGTATGTCCCTACTTCTGAAAAAAGAAAATAATAAAAGATAACTACCAGGGAGGGGCAGTAAGAGGAGTCAAGAGGAAAGGGGCATGAATGGTTTTCTCAAATCGGTCATGGCCTGGTTTGACATAAGAGGGAGACAGGGCAACTTCCGCCTATGATTCTGTGATCCAGAGTGGGAGGCACCTGGCACGGAAGAGGAGAAAGAGCCTGCTTCCAAATGTTGCCTTGATGGAGCACGTCCTGGAATCCTAAGTATGCCTCACCTGCAAACACTGACCTCTGGGACCACAAGGGAAAGGGGGGTGAGGGGTGACCGGAATGCCCAGGATGTCTGAACTGCCACAGGCTTCCACTGTACCTCCAGCTTCTAGAAGCCACAGCTAAGACAGAGAAATGCGGAAGCACTGGTTTGAAAAGGCTTCTCCACCAGACCGCAGGTGGATCCCATCACCCGTTCAAGGACTGAATCAAACCTAGGGCTCATCCTAAGCACCTTAACAAGCCCCGCCCGCCATCTTTCACTTCTAGCCTGTGTAGATGCAACCTGCCTCTCCTTGTGGGACACAGTCCTCTCTTTCCGGTGATCTGAAACAACAGGAAACTAACCCCGAAGGCCAGCAGAGGGCACTGCATAGCAGGGACCCTCCAGGCTGGGCCAACCCCAGCTGCTCCCAGGAAAGACGTGAACCTCCTGCCCGTCCCAGAGGCCCCACCCACCCTCAGCTCCTAAGTACTGTCCTTCCAAGACAAACTTGCTCGGAGCTTTCACTTCTAAATCAGGAGCCCCTGACTTTTACATTACAGATTACAGATGTCTGCTATGCCTGTAACCTGAAAGTTCCTAAAACACACAGGTCAGAGCAACAGCTGGTAAAAGTGGGAGACAGAAGAGGACAATGAAGGTGAACAGCAAATGCGACCACAGGACAAGTATCTGGAAGGAGATCTTTGCACGGAGAGCCTATTCTTCCTCCTCCTCCCCCTCCCCGCCCCCCCTTCCCATGCCACGCAATATGCTGGGTCTGAAGTCATTCTCTATGAGCAGCAGAAAGATTCCAGGGATCCGAGCCATAGTGAGCTGTGTAGGATGTTTGCCTCACACACCACCGACCCAGTTCAGTCCTCAGCATCCATCCCATATGGTTCTCTGAGCACTGCCAGGCATAATTCCTGAGTGCAGAGCCTAGGAGTAAGCTCTGAGCAAAAACCAAAAAACAAAAAAGAAAGAAAGACTCCAACCCTCTATTGGCAGTGTGTGAGAACTGTAAATTATGAATTATCTAGGGATTTTCAGGTACCATTATTTGGTCCAGTGACTTACCAGAAAAATATAATCAGCTCCATTTAGACACTAACTAGGATAGGCTGGAGACTAGGCTGATTCTTGGTGCTTAAGGAGACAAAATTCCCTGAGCATCAGTACCAATGAACCTAGAGAAAAGACCCACAGGAGGCCCCTGGCCCCTTCAACAGTCAGAATGCAAGTCTGTGGCTCTGGGTGGGAGAAGGTACCAGCCTCTTAGGAGCCCAAGTCTTTTGGTCTGGTTTGTTTTGTTTTGATTTTGTTTTGGAGACACATCCAGTTGTGCTCAGAGCTTAATCCTGGGGCTTAATCCTGGCTCTGTGCAGCTCTGTGCTCAGGGATCATTCCTGGCTCCTCCTGGTGGGCTTGGGGGACCATATGGGGTGTTAGCGATAGAACCCTGGTTCAGCCAAGAACAAGGAACAAAGAAAGCACCCAACCACTGTACTACTTACTGCTGCCCTGGCCCTCTCCTGGTCTCTCTCTCTCTCTCTCTCTTTCTTTTCTTTCCTTCTCTCTTTTCTTTCCTTCTCTCTTTTCTTTTTGGATACCCAGTGATGCTCAGGAGTAATTCCTGGCTCTGCACTTTGAAATTACCCCTGGCAGTACTTGCTTGGGGAACCACATGTGGTGCCAAGGCTTGAACCCAGGTCAGCCACATGCGAGACAAACACCCTACCCGTTAAACTATGGCTCTGGCCCCTCTTCTGGTCTCTTTCAAACGCCCTCCAAACAGAGATGTTTTTCCATTAAGCTCCCGGATGCCTTCCCTTTATTAACCCACCTGGAGGAAAATGTCAGAGGTCAGGTTGGCTGACTGTCGGTGCGAATGCCGAGCTGCCCACCCCTCCTCTTCCCAGGTCGGACAAGCTGACCATTATATTACAATTTATAAATAGAAAATAAAATAAAATAATCCGGTGGGAATGAGGCACTGGGGGGGAAGAAGAGGCTAAATGATCCTTGTCAGGGATGCGCAACATCAGCCCCACCTTCCTGCACCCCCGGAGTCACCCCCTCACAGTGGGAGCGAGCCCTGAACCTGGGCGCTCTCCTAACCCATCCATCCCTCCCTCCCCATCCGCACAGAGCACAGCAGCCTTCCACATCAAGCGTCTGGGGGGTTTCCGTGCCCGAAGCGCTCAGCCCAGCAGCTCCTCCGCCAGGCGGTAGAGGAAGCGCGAGTACCAATGCATGCCCGTCGGCTGCACGGCTCCGCCCGGGAGCAACGCTCCCAACGCGTGCAGCAAGCGCAAGGGGGCAAAGGCGCGGTGCGCCCACTGGTGACTCTCCAGGACCGCGTAGCACGAGGCCAGGACGTCGTTGACCAGCAGCGTCCCGTGCGCGGTGAGCGGCGCGAACACGCCCACGGCTTCCTCCCGCGCCACCCGGGCCACGCGCGCGGGCCGGAGCGCGTCCCCGCCGGGCGCCAGCACCGAGTCCCCCGCGCGCAGGCGACGCGCGAACACCGGGGCGAAGTCGGCGGGCGCGGGCGCCGGCCCTCGGGCGGCGAACACCAGGTGCCAGGGCGTGAGCAGCAGCTTGCGCGGAGGCCGCTCGGTCTCCACGGCCACGAAGGAGGCGCGGCGCTGCAGGTCCCGGTCCAGGAAGAGCAGCACGGGCGTGGGCACCACCCGGCCTGCCGCGTCTGCGGCCAGAACCCAGTCCCCGCCGTGCAGTTCCCGCAGGCCCTTCCGCTCGCCGCTCCGCAGGCGCACGGTGGCGTTTCCCGGAAAGCAGCCGCCAGCCCTGACCGCCAGGGAGTTATCTGCGGGACCAAACAGAGGAGTGAATTGGGACTCGTGGTTCCAGGCTGTGAGTTCGAGATTCTCGGCGGGACCCGACTAAGCGGCTGTAGGTTCGGAACGCCCTGGGTCCTGGGTCAGGCCCAGCACAGCCCTGACCGGTGCTGAGACCACACGCACCCCTTTGCGCCCGCGAATCTGGCCTGACCTGGGCAGAAATGCAACGGTGACTTACAACACTCACGCCTACTTGGGTCGCAAAAACCCTTGGGTCACCCCCTAGGGTCGCAAGAACTGCAGCCTCAGTTTCCCGGAGGGGATCCCTTCGGGGGCAGAGCTCACCACCCACCACCTACTGTACCGGCTTTGACCGACACGTGGACGTGGTTGCGGGATTCGTAGTAGACCCAGTCGAAGCCGGCTTCCACTGCCAGGCGCGCCAGCAGCCCATACTTATTGCGATCGCGATCAGAAGTGGTGATGTCCAGGGCGCGGCCTTCGTAGTGGAGGGAGTCCTGCGCGTGGTGGCCGTCCTCGTCCCAGCCCTCGGTCACACGCAGGCGCACTCCGGGCCACATGTTCCTCACTGCGATGGCCAGCGCGTTCACCCGCTCCTTGCAGCGCTGGCAGGAAGAGGGGGTCCTCACTACCAGAGGTCGGAGGCAGGACAGAGCGCATTTCTTGGTTTATCCCAGTCCACCCCTCTCCCTCCCAACTTCCGAGTGCTCTGGGGAAGTGAGACGCTGAGACCCCCTTTCCCTTGTGGAACTGTGGGGGTCACCTGTTGAGGTTGCCACGGGTACCTGCTCTTTCCCCACTTCTGGGCCCGCCCCTCACCCCTTCTTGTCCCAGGACTAGGTTCAACCTGATAGCAAGAGTCTGAGAGGGATGGGGGCTGGAGTGATAGCACAGCGGATAGGGCGTTTTGGCGGTCGACCCAGGTTCGATTCCCAGCATCCCATAAGGTGCCCTGAGCACCGCCAGGAGTAACCCCTGAGCATCACCAGGTATTACCCCCCAAAAAAAAGTCTGAGAGGGAGAGTTAGTTGGGCAGTTGGGCGGGCAAGCGGGCAAGCGGGTGAGCGCCCAGAAGAAGCCCAGTTTGAGCCCGGCCCCCGCCGCTAGCCCCGCTGCCCTCCCTTCTGCCTGACTCATCTTTTGTTTCGTTGCCTTCCCTGGCACGGGGGCATCGTCGTTTCCTTCCTTCCTTCCTTCCTTCCTCCTCCTCCTTTCGGCCCCTAGCATTAACCCCTTGCTGTTGGTCCAAGCGCCCCCCACGTAGAGGTGCCCGGGGGGAGCGGCGCGGGATTAAAGTCGCTCGAGAACTGGGCTGGGGTGGCGGGGGCTGACGTGAAGGACAATGGCCATTCTCCGGGATGACTTAACCGAGCGAGAATCCCGGGCCGAGGCCGAGGACTCGCCGGGAGAAGCGGACTCAGCAGCTCCATCCACAAAGGCGCTTTTCAGCCGCCCCGGCGCAGCGAGAGGAAAGGGCAGAAAGCCGCGCCCCCCTGTCCTGCTCGGCCCGTCGGGTCCCCTCCCCCCGCGCGGCCCGCCCTCCGGGGTCCAGCTCCATCCCTGCAGCCCTGACAGCTCCCAGCTCGCCCTCTCGGCTCCCGAGGCAGCCCGGCGAGGCGTGGGAGGTGCACCGGACTCGAACGCGAGACGCCTGGACGCCGATCTGGGAGGCCCCCTGCAGGGTCGGGGCGGAGAGGAGGCCGGCGGCGGCAGCTGGAAGTCTGCGCCCAGGGGAGTGAGCGCAGCGTTATCTCCGCGGCGAGCCCGAGACCTTGGAGCGCTGCACAGCGCGGCCGCGGCGGGAGGAGGTGGAGGAGGAGGAGGAGGAGGAGGCGGAGGAGGTGGAGGAGGTGGAGGAGGAGGAGGAGGAGGGCCGCTTCCTCTGCCCCCTCGGATCGCTCACCTCCGCTCCGCCCGGGTTTGGGCTTAACTGCCCCTGTCCCGACTCTCCGACACCTCGGTAGCAGCGTTGGAGAGGAGGGGTGGGGGAAGACAGGAACAGTGGTAACTCCTTCCAACTTTTTGTCCTGTTGTCCCCTAAGGAGGCCCTGAAGCCTTGACCTGCGGGGGCAGCAGCCCAGGGCAGAGCCTACTCAATGGAGGCCTTTAGCAGCCCGGGTGTGGGAGATAAGCGCGTTGAGGGGGTTCCCGGGCCTGTCAGCGTCCTCCCGGGGACTGTCCCTTGTTCTGACCACTCTGCTAAAGATGGCAGCTGGAGCAAAGGCCCACAAACTCTCTCGTGTGACCAAGGAGGGATGGAACGGCCCCTTCCCAATGGCTGGGCTGAGAAAGGCTTGCAGGGCAGGAGCACGCCCGCACCCACCCACCGCCACAGGTTTTTCTAACAAAGTAACCTGGAAAACTATGGCAATTAATCAAAGGAAATCCGTCCCCCTCCCTCTCCCCCACCTACTCACTCCATACACAATTAGGTGGTGTAATGGAAATGGAAAGGGGACTCAGAGCGGGAGTCCTGAATCCTACTCCCAACCATGCCACTACTTAATTGTAAGGTTTTTGATTAAATCGCTTATCCTCCTGGGGCCCAGTTCTCGGCTATAAAATGGGGGTGCGGGTGGAAGAACATGACCTAGTTTCCTTCCAGTTCTGGCGTTACAAAAGGCTGAGCAAGGGGGTTCTTCTCTCCCCAGGTACCGTGCGCCCACCCCCCTCCGTATTGTCTAGGCTCTGGTCTGCAGTAGATGCGCAAGATAGTGGGTGCTTTGGGATTTGTTTTCCTGAGTCCCGAGGAGAGCCTCTGGGCTAAGCTGAGCTGGAACGACATGGGGGGCCCTTTGATTCTCAGGTGGGACACCGGCTCTCCTGGAGAACTGCTTTTCACCGCAAGGCAGCCAGCTGGGCTCTCAGCATCTCTGCACGTTCTAGTCCTCTGCCTGCCAGACACCTCTGGTCCTCCTGCTCAGCCAGAGGCCTGACAACCCTAGTCAGGGCCACCACTCTCCCTGCTTTCAATCTCGTTGGCCCACAGAGCTTTTTCCACAATCAGGTCAGGAGGTAGGCTAAGGGCAGAGCTTTCTGTCTGCTGCCCAGCCAGCTTCTGGCCCCCGGCTCACCCCAGCCCTTCCTGCCTGGCTTGGTAACTGACCCCCGGTCCACGCCTCAGCCATTTCCCGTCTCGCCTGCCGCCATCCTCCTCTCCCCGCCCTCACGGTCTCTCCCAGCTTCACTCTCACTAGCCCCTCCTCCCCTCCCCAGCCCAGGCTCTCCCGGTGGGATCCCTGGGGTTCACTCATTCCAGTGCAGGGGTGGGGGGTGGAGGGGACAGTTGAGGAACGGTCTTTGAGGCTAAGGTTCCATCAGACTCACCTCACTGGGCTGCCATAGAAAACAGAGGTGGCAGTGCCCAGCGCAGGTGTGGAGAGGACACCCCTGCCCCCCCTTACCTCGGTCATCAGGCGGTCTGCGCCACTGTTCTCCTCATCCTTGAAGATGATGTCGGGATTGTAGTTGGGCACCAGGTCCCGGAAGCGCTCGGAGCCCCTTGCCACCCTCCCCTCCGCAGGCCCACTGGCGCCCAGGGTCCGCTCGGGCACGCTGGGCACGAACTGCTTGTAGAGCAACGGCACTAGCTGCTTGCGCACGTAGCGGCGGCGGCCCACGGGCCCCCTGCCGGGTCCGCAGCTCTGGGCCGGCAGAGCCAAAAGTGCCAGGCAGCACAGGGGGACCAGACTGACTGGCAGCGCCATGGATGTTGCGAACTACGGCCAAAAGGCAACGTTCTTGTTCTCACCAGCTCGCCCGTCAGTTGGGCATTTCCCCGGGCACCAGAGCGCGCAGCGGGCTGAGCTGCCTCCAGAGTGCCCGGCAGCGCCTGTGGCTCTGAGCACCTGGCTGTCGCGAGCCTCCCTACATGCCCGGGGCGGCCGGGAACCTGCTACCGACAGGACATCACGGCACGGACGGGGGGTGGTGGGTAGAGTGCCAGGCGAGCCCTAGTTCTGCCGGGTCTGGCCGCTGCCAGAACGCACAGCTCCGCCTTAAGTTGCCCCTGGCCCCGCCCCCCGCCCTTCTTCCAGGCCCGCCCGCCCCCTCCCACTGGGGCGGGGGCTCCAGCAGGTCCCCGCGGATCCTGTGGAGACCGAAGTGTGGCCCATCCCAAAATAATAGGAAGGCACCTGACCGAGAAATCTTGTAGTTACACGGCGCTGAGCTGCCTGAAGAAGCATCCTTCTTCCAACCAGACGCCTCAAGTTGGCGCTGAACCACACGCCCTGATGCCTGGATCTTGGCTTTCCCCAAACCTACCTGACAGACCATGTCCTCTGGCTAGCACACAGGATGGAGTTCCAGTTCCTGCACAAGGCCGGCCAAGCCCTTGAGGTGGACAACCTTTGGTGTTCCCAATTTGCATCTTCCTTCACTCAGCACTAGTCAGGTCGGGCAGGGACGCACCAGGAAATCTTCCCCTGGTGGCTTTGCGGTCTTCTGTTGGAGCATTCCCAGAATCAGAAACTGGGTTTGGTACCGTCTGGCTTAGTATTTCAAAGCTGTCACATGTCTTGTCCCCGCTGAAACCCAACTGCTGCTTCCTTTCAAAGTTACTTGCTAGGAAGCTCCTGAGTGTGACGGCTGGATCAGCCTCAGCTTTTTGTCCAAAGACCCTTCACTTACCAATGTTATCACTGAGAAATAACTTTTTTCTTGGTCACACCTGACAGTACTCAGGGACTATTCCTAGTTCTGTTCTCTGGATTCCCCCTGGCAGTGCTGGAGATGGAAACTGGTCCAAGTGATGACATGCAAAGCAAGTGTCCTACTCCTGTATTTTCTCCAGTCCCTTGAAATCAACTTTTTTGGGGGTGGGTAGAGCCACAACCAGTGATTCTTAGGATACACTTAGTGGGTGCTTGGGATTGAATCTGGCTCAAACACACGCAAGGATACCCTACCCACTGTACTCTCTCCAGCTCTTAAAAAATCTTTTTTTTTTTTTTTTTTGCTTTTTTTGGTCACACCCGATGATGCTCAGGGGTTACTCCTGGCTCTGCACTCAGGAATTACTCCTGGCATTGCTTGGGAGACTATATGGGATGCTGGGAATCGAACCCTGGTCAGCCGCGTGTAAGGCAAACGCCCTCCCCGCTGTGCTATCGCTCCAGCCCCACCAAAAATCACTTTTTGAGGAGCCTTCCCTGCTGCCTGAACCTGCTCACCTGTTGCCTTGCTAACCGGTATTAGAATTACCTTCTTCCCTGACAAGGCATTTTTGGGATCTTTTGGGGGGCTACTTAGCATGGTGGTGGGATTAAACCCAGGGGTCCCAAAAGCAAAATATGCATGATAGCCCTTTTCAGCCATTTCTCCTCCTCAACAATGCAGTTCTTAAATGTAAGTCCCAAAGCTAATGAAGTGCAGACTTATTGTAGGGTGCTCAGCAGTTATCTGCAGGCTCTACACTTTCATCCGTTCCATACTCATCTCTTCCTCGACTCCAGGACGAGCACTCACAGATCTGTGTGCCTTTGCAGGAGGAGACACCTGGTTGCCATTCGCAGTAGTCACTATGTGCAGTGACTGAGACTGATGGTGCTCCGGGCACTGTGCAGTGCACCTGCTGCGTAAGACCCCATGCAGCGACTTTATCCTCAGTCCTAACAGAGCAGGGGGACTTGCACAGCCCAGCGGCCCTGGAAAGGTAGTTCTGAGGTTGGACACACAAACCCTTGTCAGCCACATTTTCTGGTGGGGGCCCAGGGGGGAGGTCCCAAGCAGTGCTCAGAAACACAGGAGCCACCCCAGAGATACTTGAACGGACGGTTCAAAACTGGGGCTTTGTGGTCTGCGTGGGCTTGGTGCTGTTGGAGGCCTGCGTCTGCCCAGCAGTGCTGGTGAGGGGAAGAATGCAGTTCGAGGGGCTGAACTTGGGTCCTGGCACACACAAGGCATATGCCCCTGACCAATGAGCTGGCTCTCTTTTTAACTTTACAATTCAGAGGTTGCCCCTCAGTTATACCTTCCACTATTACTGGACCCCTGGACCATTCAAGCATTGCCCATTTTAAGAAACAGTGTGCTACATCCAAGAGAAAAGTCAGGGGACTCACGTCCCCGTACCCACCCGTAGTCATCCGCCCACAACAGAGTGTCGAAGCAAAACTTTGGGTGTAAGGATACTGATCAACTTTGAGGGTGCTAATGGAGGCAGACCATCCACTGTCTAGCGCCCAACTCATGTCCTCAAAGGTCACTAAGGATGATGATGGAGGGAGAAGGGAAGGCAGTAAGCAGAATCCCTACTTCTTTTTTGGGGGGAGGCACGCCTAGTAGTGCTCAGGGCTTACTCATGGCAGTGCTAGGGAACCATATGGAGTGCCAGGGGTCCAACTTTGCCCTGATCGTGCCCTAAGCACTGTACTGTCGCTCTGGTCCCAGAACTCCTATTTCTGTTGACACTCAGAACTGGTGGGAGCAAAGTTGTTCAAAAAGATACAGACAAGCCCTTTACAAAACCAAACCAAACCCTGGGATCAACTTTATTGCTGATGGTTGAGGTCGCTTCCTCCCTCTGCCCTTGTCTCACAGGTGGTCCAAAGCACCTCCAGAGTAACACAGTGCTTAAGGCTTAGCTGGGCCAGAGGCCAAGGAGACACTCGGCCTCCCAGGTCAGCCTCAGGCTCAGTCCCTCCCCTGCCCCCACCCACCCTATTGCACATCAAATCATGTAAACATGGCTAGTGGGCATGGCCCAAACAGCAGTGAGGCAGACTGATGTGTAAACGGATTTGGGACCAGTGGCCAGACCCAGTTATCCAGAGTCACCCCGAGTTCAGGCCCACAATGAAGTCTGGACAAAAGAGGGGGCCCTGGTCCCAACTCTGGCTCAGATTATGCAACAGTGCAGATGGCCCCGCTCCCCTGCCACCCACCCTCTCAGATTCCAAGTCCCGAGGGCCACCCACCCCCGGGTGCCCTCTGGGTCTGAGCAGCAGATGGCAGTGTCCAGTTCTCTCCCTCCCACCCCCAGCTGGAGATCACTGGTGCTGGGTCTTCCTGGATGCCCGGGGGAAACCAGAGACAGGCAACGGCAGTCTGTCGAGCCCTGGAGAAGAGAAGCCGGAGGTCAAAGCTGGGCCTGGGTCTAAACCCTGAGGGAACGACACCCAAGCCACAGCGGCCTGCAGGGCTGAAAGGATGCCATCTTCCCTGCCGGGGTGACCAGTGTGCCAGACAGAGGGTGCCCTTTCACAACCACCACCTCAGAGCCCCTGCTCCCCCTTACCAAAGGCCCTGATCAGCTCTGCCCGCACGGCCGCGGTGAAGGTTTTCACCAAACAGAGAGTGGTGAGGCCCGCGAAGGCTGCGTTGTAGAGGAACACGATGTAGAAATTGCCCAGCCAGTTGAAGCGGCCGAAGTCTCCCAGAAGGTCGAAGCGAGTCAGCCCTGAAGTACAGAGGCGGGATGAGGGATGGGCTCACCAGCCCCTTCCCGGCAGAGCCCCGGCTGTCTGCTGCCTCCGCATGGCTTCTCAGTGTACTGCAGTGTCGTTGCAGTACAAAGGTTGTTCTCGCTACATTCATTAATCCTGCCTTTCCGGTTCAGTGGCTGCTCCTGCAAGTGTCTGGAGCTAGGCTAGCTCCAACTTCCAGTCCAGCTCATCCTCTACCTCCAAGGAGGCCTCCCTGACTCCTGGTCTCCCAGAAAACTCCTTGGGTCTGTTCCTTGTTCCTTGGATGGACCACCAGGCTGGCCACCAACTGTTTCAGTCAACAGAAGAGTGTGGAAGTAAAGAACTCTGATTCTGATAAGACCTTGGGCATATACAAATCCCACTTACAAGGGCCGGAGAGATAGTACAGCAGGTAGGGTGCTTGCCTTGCACATGGCCCAAATGGCTTAGATCCCCAGTATGTGCCCGCCCCCCACCGTGGTACATGGATAAAGTCTCTTGCCCTCGCATCTGCTAAGTTTGATGCTGAATACCAGTGAGAGCATCAGCACAGGGCTGAGAGTAGCCCCAGAATACTGCTGGATGTGGCACCCCCCAAAAAGTTCAACAACGTACATACTAGTCACGATTGTAACATTTACTGAGTCCTTAATCATAACACTACCACTGTCACTGTCCTCCCATTGTTCATCAATTTGCTCGAGCGGGCCCAGCAACGTCTCCATTGTGAGACTTAAATTCCGGGGCTCTCTAGCTCTTTTTTTTTTTTTCATTTTCTTTTCTATTTTTGGACCATTCCCCACAGTGGTGCTCAGAGACTATGTGGTACTAGGGATGAAATCCAGGCCCCTATATGCACCCCAGGCCTTTAGGTCACCTCCCTGGTCCTCTGCCCCCTTTAAAAAAGCATTTCTGGTCACAGTGATGGGGCAGGGAGGCGGTGGTGGTTTGGCACAGGACTAAAATAAGATTCCTGGGGGTGGAAAGGTGTTACAATAGTGCACTGTATTCCGATAGCACAGCGGTAGGGCATTTGCCTTACAAGCGGCCAACATGGCCGACCCGAGTTCGATTCCTCCGCCCCTCTCGGAGAGCCTGGCAAGCTACCGAGAGTATCTCGCCCGCACGGCAGAGCCTGGCAAGCTACCCGTGACGCATCCGATATGCCAAACACAGTAACAACAAGTCTCATGATGGAGACGTTACTGGGCCCGCTCGAGCAAATTGATGAACAATGGAAGGACCGTGACGGTGAATTCCAATGACTCCAATTATGGTACCCCAGCATCACCAGGATTATTCCCTGAGCACTGAGCTAGGAGTAAACTCTGACCATCACTGGTTCCAAAGTATGTTTTCAAAGTGGGTATGTATGATTCTCTGAGCCTGGCAGGAGTCATGACCCCCGAGTGCACAGCCAGGAGTAAGCCCTGAGAATCACTGCATATGGCCCCAAATCCAGTAAATAAAACAATTTGGGGCTTCCTGCATGCAAAGCATGTACTCCAGACTACTGAGTTATCTCTCAGACTTATGATTTATCTTTATTTATTTATTTTTGTGTTTTTAGGGCCATACCTGGCTGTGCACAGGGTACTCCTGGCTCTGTGCTCAGGGATCGCTCCTGGTGGTGCTTGGGTTACCATATGGAGTACGAGAGCTTGATTTCTTGCAAGGCAAGCACTTTATCTGATTTACCATCTCTCTGGACCCTTGTTACTTATTTTTAATAGGAGAATGTTTGAGAGGGCAGGAGAGAGAGTACAGGGATAAAGCACTTGTCTGCATGTGGCTGATCCTGATTTGATCACCTGTGCCGTGGGGATCCCCCAAGGCCCGCCAGGATTGAGCCAGGAGTAGTCCTGAGCAGCTCTGGATGCAGCCCCAAACCCCGAAAGAAAATAACAAAGTGAGAATATTTAAGTTGGGGATGTAGCTCAGTGGAATATCCTTGCACGTTAAAGGCTCTGGTTGAGACTCTGAAAAATGGGCAGGAAAGAGAAAAAAGAAAACTGAAACAAAAAAAGAGAATAATGTTTATTAGGTGATCTACCTTGATGGAAGATTTGGGGAAAAGTGATGTTTTTTCATCCAAAAAATGAACATCAATGGGGGAGAAGCAGAATGAAGCAAATGGAAAGAAAGAATGCATTTTGAAGTAACACTGCTCTTAAGTTTAGCACAGGAATTTTACAGATCCTCAATTTCTCCATCTGTATAATGGGGATACACTTTGCTGTAGAAATGAGATAGAGTCTCTATATCAAAAGTCAGTGTCTGCTTGTAACAACAACAACAGGTACTCAAACCAAAACAAACAAAGCAAACCAATTCCCTTACCTCCTCTTGCTACCTACCCAGGGTTCGAGAGAAGACAGGAAGTGCTGAGCTTAGGACCAGGAGACAGACACAGTTCCCAATGATCTGGGTGGGGAAAGGAAAGGGAAGGTGAGGGCACCAGCATCCAGGGTGACCATGCCACACCGGGAAGGCTTCCTCTATTCCCTCCCCTACCTGCGTCATGGCTGTGTCATGCCATCTGGGCCGTAGGCACCGGAAAAGCGGAGAACTGTAGAATCCCACGACTGAAGAAACCATCAGGTAACTGCCAGCGGTCAGGGAAGAACTGGCTCGTTTGCAAGGGGACTATCTCATCACAAAGGGGAACGGAACTCTTCCCCAACCCTCCACTCAAACCAAGTCTCTTTGTTTTGGGGCCACACCTGGCAATGCTCAGGAGTTCCTCCTGGCAGAGCTTAGAGGACCACAGGAGACGTCGGGGACTGAATCCAGTTGGGTACATGCAGGGGAGGTGCTTGATCTACTGTCCCTCGCTCCGGCCCTGAGTCTTTTCCTTCTTTATGAACCCAAAGAGCTGAAGATTTGCCCACTTCCCCATCACTCCCTCCAAAGCCCTAACCAGAAGCAGACGGGCGTGGGTTCGATAAACAGGCAAGTGTGCGTTTAGAAGGATACAAGATAAGTACAACCTGAATGACGGCACCAAAGGAGCCCAGCTTGGAGAAGGACACCTGGCCCAACGAGGCACCCTGAGGGAGGGACGGAGCAGGGTCACTGCAGGGAATCCCACCAGCAGCACCACCCAAGCCTCACTCCAGCCTTTGCCCCAGCAGGAGGACAGATAGCCCCATCCCTACCTGCATGCCCCGGGGCATGGCTGCCTCATCGATGAGCAGTTCCAGGATGTGAATGGCGACAATAAGCACTGACAAGCCCTGCAAGAGGCAATATGGATCTCACACACACACACACACACACACACACACACACACACACACACATCACACATACACACCCAGGCCCAATATGGCTCTCTCATGGCTCTCTCTCTCTCTCACACACACACACACACACACAAACACACACACACACACACACACACACAGACCCAATATGGGTCTGTCTCTCTCTCTCACATACACACACACACACACACACACACACACACATATCCAGGCCCAATATGGGTCTCTCTCTCTCTCTCTCACACACACACACACACCCAAACACACACACACACACCCAGGCCCAATATGGGTCTGTCTCTCTCTCTCTCTCTCACACACACACACACACACACACACACACACACACACACACACACCCAGAGGCCCACACTAGTAGCCAGAGTTAAATGTTATCAGCAGGCACTCTCGTCCAAAGTTTTCAGTTTGGAACGAGCTGCGTGTGATCTCCTCATGCCTGAAGCTAACGACAAAGCACCTCTGAGGAGATTATAAACTGCTCTGCTCTGCTCTGCAGTGGGAGACATCAGAGGGCAGAGGACACTGGCCAGAGGACACTGAGTAGGATGCGTGCTCTCCACAGGGCAGCCTAGCTTCAATCCTGGCACCACATGGAAAAGAAAATCCCAGGAGCTAAAGAGATGGTACAGGGGGCAGGGTGCTTGCCATGCTCGTGGCCAACCTAGGTTTGATCCCAGGCAGCCCACACAGTCCCCTGAGCCCCGCCAGGAGTAAGCTCTGAGTGCAGAGCCAGGAGTAACGCCTGAGCACTGCCTGGTGTGGAACAAAAATCAGAAACAAAAACAAAAAGCCCAAAGAGTCAAAGGTGCCTCTTCCTTCAGATTAGTAAGATTCGGGGCTGGAGAGATAGCACAGTGGTTAGGGCGCTTGCCTTGCACGCAGCCGACCTAGGTTCGATTCCCAGCATCCCGTATGGTCCCCCGAGCACCGCCAGGAGTAATTCCTGAGTGCATGAACCAGGAGTAACTCCTGTGCATCGCTGGGTGTAACCCAAAAAGCAAAAAAACAAACAAACAAAAAAAAAACCAAATTAGTAAGATTCATTCCCAAGGCTAAAATCTAGGCAAATGGGGGCTGTGAAGTGAATTCAACAGCAAACCCGCTGAATTACTTAGTGGCCCCATGTGGCTTTGAGCAAATTCCTTAACGTCTCTATTAATCTAGAAAGTGGGGTGTGCACCATACATAAAGCAGGCACTCAGTGAGGCAACTTCCATTACTGAACACCAGGCCCTTGCAGCTAACCCCTCGGCCCCGAGAAGGCCACAAGCATGCGAGGATACCCCGGGGTAGAAATACCCACCGTCAGTCCCAGCAGGCACAGCATGGCCAAGGGGTAGCCCAGGTTCCGCTGCCAGGCTGAAGCCTTCCGTCGCTTCTCTGCACAGGGATACAAGCTGTGACCTGGTTCTGTACCAGGGATCCCTCCCAGGGGATCTCCAGGGGTGATCGTCCCTCCCCATCCACCTACCCAGCAGCACCCTCTGAGTCTGCAGAGCCAGGACCTGTCTATGCAGCAGCTCCATATCCAAGTGCAGCCAGCAAGAGGTGGGATCTAGGACAGAGACGGCGCTGGCCCCAGTCCCGCATACTCAGCCCAGGCCACGCCCTTGTCCACTCCGGGCAGGTCAGCAACTTACTGCAAATCCTGCGGGTCAAAGCTGCCTCTTCAAAGGCTGAGCAGTACAGCTGCTCCTCCAGGTCTTCCAACAGCTTGGGGCAGGGTAAAGGTGGACTGTCAGAGGCTACTCACGCCCCACAGCCTCCCTCCTCCCCCCCCCCCCCCCCCCCCCGGCAGTATCTTAATCCTTGCCAGGGCTCCCTTCCACCCCCTAACCCTTCACCACCACACTGAGGCAGCAACAGGATCCAATCCCTCTAACTGCCTTATGTTCTGCCTTCTAAATCTGATGACGGGAACTGGAGTGATAGCACAGCGGGGAGGGCGTTTGCCTTGCTCGCGGCCAACCCAGGTTCGATTCCCAGCATCCCATATGGTCCCCCGGGCACGCCAGGGGTAATTCCTGAGTGCATGAGCCAGGAGTAACCCCTGAGCATTGCCAGGTGTGACCCAAAAAGCAATAAGTAAATAAATAAATAAATACATAAATCTGATGATGGGTTCCATGTGAAGGGTGTCAAGAGTATCAGGCAACCAAGGTTGTGACCCCTATCAGGTGTACACTAAACCACTTCCTAAAGCACTTCAGGGTCACAGCATCATGTGGGTCTGCTTTGCAGGAGGCTGGCCTGACAGGGAAAAGGGCAAGGAGGACGACATACCCGGGGCTTAACCAGCAGCTTCCCGGTGACGGAGAACATGCGGGCAAGACCTAGTGGAGTACACACTGTGGGAACAGGAATCAGTCACTGACCATTTCCGCTCCTTCCACCCTGGCCGCTGTGACCCCAGGAATCTTCTCCATTCCACCCCCCAGACCCTGAGCACTTACCCAGGAGCAGCAGGACCCCCAGGAAGGAGATGCAGGAATAGAGGTAGGGGAGGTAATACTCCCAGAAGTCTAGGGGGCAAAAAGGGGGACCTATTATCAGCAGCCTTGCTTCCCTCTTACTGTGGGCTGAACAGTGTCAGAGACAAGGCAAGGACTGGATGCAAAAATCTGCAGGTGTCAGGCATGGAAGGGCTGGTGAGGGCCAGACACAACAGAGAGCTGGAATGCTAGCAGACGGAGAGCCAAGCCCTAACTAAGTATACTCAGCTCCTCACCCCAGCTGAGCAAAGCCAGAAACCTGGACATCGATGCGCAATCTCCCTTTAACTGGGTGATAGCTGGCTTACAGGACTCTGAATCACTGCATAGGCCCAACGGAACATTTCAGCAGGTTGGGGTGACTTCGACTCCAGAGCGTGAAACTTCCATTTCAGGGACAGAGTTTTAATCTTCTCCACCTTAGAGGGAGATAGCGGTCCCTGCTGGGGGCCCCAAGAGTCATGTGAAGGCTGCTGAGCCCGGAAGGCGAGGAGGTGGCAGGAGCTCTCACCGTAGAGTGACTCCCTGCTGGCCTTGTTGTTGTCCACAATGGCCGATGCCACCCACACCATGCCCAGCACCAGTAGCGTAAGAAGCATCAGCATCACCACAGTCTCGTAGACTCGGCCCAGGACCCCCTACAGGAGGAAGCCAGAGTTGGGGGCGGGGGAGAGGGAACATCAGGGGCCTGGCAGCCTGGCTGCGGGTATCAGAGGTAGCTTTAGGGAACAGGAAACCATGTTTCCCTCTTATTCTGCTAAGTCACGATCCTCTCCTGCCAACCGGGGGCCAGTCCCTCTACTGGCTAGTCCTCACCTGCAGCCCCTCTCCCCAGATCCCGTCATCATCCTGTCCTGTGCTGGGAAGCTGCCCTGAGTCTGCCCCTTCACTGCCAGCGGCTGCCCTTCCGCAGTTAACTACCTAGTGGGATTCCAAAAACTATATAATCCCTTTGCACCATAGGTATCGAGGCAGTAATGACTTCCTGTTTTCATTCACACCTCAAAATCCGTGCTGGTCCTCTGAACTGACTAAATCCCTGCTAATACTCTCATTAAAAAATTTCAGGGGCTGGAGATACAGTAGGGCGCTTGCCTTGCACGAGGCCGACCCGGGTTCGATCCCCAGCATCTCATACAGTCCCCAGAGCACTGCCAAGGATAATTCCTGAGTGCAGAGCCGGGAGTAACCCCTGAGCATCTCCGGGTATGACCCAAAAAGCAGAAAAAATAAATTCAGTCATTGGCTGGAAAGACAGCACAAGTGTGGGAGCCCAGGCTCTGTGTGCATGGGGCATGGGTTCAAGCCCTGGCACTACATGGTCCCCAAACACTACAGGAAGCACAGTACAAGCAGCCCCAAACAATGCAAAGTCTAGCCAAAACACTGCAAAATTAAAAATTAATTTCTTTTTTTCAGTTGAATCTTCGGAATGGAATTCTAGTTCCTGCCTGGATGAATGGACGGCTAGATCCCTCCTTACCTTCCTGGAGCCAGCAAAGCCCTCCGACTCGGTGAAGAAGTATGCGAAGGGCATAAGAAAGATGAGGGACAAATTGGAGAAGAGAAAAACCAGGTTCCAGAGGCCTAGAGTGAAGAAAGCAGAGGTGGTCAGTAAAGGGGTTACCTGCCTGAGTGCCTGACCCTGTGGTGGGGGAAACGGGGAGGGACAAGATACGAGGCCGCATCTGCCCGAGCCCATCTCAGGTTCCAATCTGAAATCACGAACCGTGGATGAGGGAGCCGTTGAGCCACTGGATGTAGTAGTTCCTCGGCAGAGAGAGCAACACCTCGTTGCTGATGATGGAGAAGGGCAGGAGCAGGACAGCACCCAGGGCAACCGCCAGGGTGAAGGTACAGAGCTCCAGCCTGAAAGGAGAGAGGTCCGGGCTAGACACGCCTCCCATCCCTGCGCCCGGGACGGCGACTAGCCCCCGCGGACCTGGACCCGAGGCTTCTCCTGCAATGAGCTGATCAGAGACCAACTGCTGCCTTCCAGCTGCTCCCCACCCCACACCCTCACCTCCTGCGGCAGAGGCATGCCTTGGGCATTCATGCCAGCCTAGTCACCTGCCAAGCCACTCGTCCATCGTCCCCAGGAATCTGGTCCTCACACATGCCTGTGGGGTGCTTCAGGCACGGTGAGAGAGCTAAGGGGCCTGGCATTTCTGTTCAGGGATGTGCATTTCTGAGCTTGCCTCCTTTGGGCCAGATAATAACGGCAAGGTCACCCCCCGTGGCTCTACACAAAGGCAAATCAGGAAAGCAGGAGCACTGAGACACAGGAGCTTCACAGTCAAGGCCTGTGTCCTAGGTTGCTTCAGCTTCAAAGAGCGCACCTGAGTGGGCTGAGCACATGTCAAGCATGCTTTGCACAAGGGAAGCCTGGGTTTGACTGCCAGCGCCACGTGTCCCCTGTGCACCACTAGGAGCAATCCCCACCCCCCCAAGCTCCCCCCACATAGAGCAGGACTGGCCCCTGAAGACTGGAAGACTGCAGGGCATGGTCCCAAAACAAAACCCAAACCTCCCCCTGTGCAAAAAAAATAAAAACACAAAAAAACCCAACCAATGATCAATAAAAATAAGACACAAATATCTGCTTGGGTCACCAAGGAGGCAAGACGGCCTTCTACTAAACTACTGACCCAAAGGGGTCATCTTCATATTTCTCTAGTAACTAACAGCATCCTGGAGTAAGGGCCATCCTCTGAGCCAGCACAGCCACCCGTGGGAGTTCCACCTTTCCCACCTCCTGTTTTCTTTTAGAACTGCCCCAGTCCATGCCCAATGGCTACAGGAAGTGAAGCCAAGCTAGAGTCATTTCCAGTGACTCAGGCCCAGCCGACACTTCCTGGCCATGAGGCTCCTAAAAGCTCCTGGCCTAACCAGGGGGACAGGAAGAACAGCTTTCCCAAGCATTGCCAGGATGGTATAAAGCCGGAAGAAGCCAGAAGTGGCGTGAAAGCAGAAACTCTCTCTTCACTGTGCAATTTCCACTCTTCCCTAAGCTCCAGGGTTCTCCCTGGATCCCAATTCCTAAAGGTTACTGATGCCAGGTGCTCAGGCAGCGACACTTACGCAATCTTGTTGACGGTGGCATCTTCATCATCCACTACAAAAGACATAAAGGCATGGAGAAGAGACAGGACATCAGTAGGCGGCTCAGAGAGCCATCTGGGATACAGGGTGCCCTCCTGCCCACTCCCTGCCCCCGAAAGAAGGGCCAAGAGTCAGGCTGGACGGATGGCAGGTTCTGGGAGAGTTTGCACTATGAACCCCTCAGGAGAGGTGGCAGCTTAAAACTCACTGGCCCCAGAGAGGAGAGTATGGGCCCGAAATTCCCCACTCCCCTCAATCTCTCCATCACAGGTTCCTCTGTAAGCTTAAAATATGAAAGACAACTGGTCTGTGAGGCTGGTTTCATCAGTGCCTGGGGGCAGCGAAGGGAACAGAGTGGGGGAATGATCATGGAGGAAGTCCCCAGGGCAATTACACAGAAGAGCTGTCATTGGGGGTGTGGGGCCAGCTCTGGGGAGGTTAGGGCAGGATCTGGGCAGGCTGGAGCCAGAAACGGAAGCACATGTGTCCCTCAGTCACACAGAGCCCACAGGAAGGAGAGCTCCAGGGTGAGCACGCTCGGGTGCCCTGGAAAGACAAGGGTCACCGTCGCAGGCGGTCAGAGGAGCATCAGTTCTGTGTGGGGGGCGTGATCAGGAGGGAAAGGAGAGCTTATGTCCAGGGCAGCATTCATCTGCCACTGCCCAGAGGGCTTCATGTTCACGGTCTCATCTGATTTGGTCTACACACAGACCGCAGACCAGCAGGCCCGTAGGCCCCTTTAGTGGATGAAATCGAGGGCCACCAATGGCCACTATTTGATATTCCGTCTAGACTTTCCTCTGTGCCACCTGCCCTGGCCTGAGCAGGAGAGAAACAGAGACTCCAGGAGCTCAACCTTCCCTTCCCCTGCAGGCACCCGGGCACATTCCCCCGAGGCTTGCCCCCATGGCAACGCGAACAGTGGCAGAGGACAGGCCGGAGGGAGGGAAGTCCCAGGTACCTGTGGTGAACTCAGCAGGCTTCTTGAAGCGGGTCAGGGCGATGTGGCAGAGGATGTAGAGTGTGGCAAACAGAAGCGCTGATATCTGTGGCACAGTGTAAGCGGGGATGAGAAGCTCTGAGCCCAGCGCGTTCCACAGCCCGGTGTTAATTCCAGGTGGTCATTTCCCCAGACGCGACTCCATACTTTCAGGGATCCCAGCTCTTTCCCTTTTTCTTTCTTTTAGTCAGAAACTCAGGGACTGGGGCTGGAGCAGCAGCACAGTGGGTAGGACTCTTACCTTGTACCTGCGTTTAATCTCTGGCGCCCCATATGGTCTCCCTAGCCCTGCCAGGATTGATCCCTGAGTGAAGAGACCAGGAGCAAGCCCTGGGCACCAACAGTTATGGCCCCCAAACCAAGGAGGAAAGAAAAAATGCGAAATTCGGGGACCTCGGGGCTGGAGCAATAGCACAGCGGGTAGGGCGTTTGCCTTGCACGCGGCCGACCTGAGTTCGATTCCCAGAATCCCATAAGGTCTCCTGAGCACCGACGGGCGTAATTCCAGAGTGCAGAGCCAGGAATAACCCCTATGCATTGCCGGGTGTGACCCAAAAAGCAAAATAAATAAATAAATAAATAAAAAGAAATTCAGGGACCTCTAAGAAGCACCAGCCATGAGGCTATCCCACGCACTTAGGAAAACAGCACAATGCCCAGCCCTTGGAAGGTGGGCCTAAGGAAACAGCTTTAGCAGAATCCTCTTTGCTAAGTGACCGGAGGTACTCATGGATGGATGCATGACATCTGCTTAAACAAACTGGTCACAGAACCAGAGGCAATTTATTCCCAGCTCATTATTGGAAAGAAAAGGAGGTTTGAAGGAAAGGCAATGCCTGCGCTGTCTTGACACGTTTCCTCCTTTGACCCTCTGCCCCACAATCCAAACCACTTGAGAGAATTAAGCAGGGCTCACTCTACCAACATAACTTGATGTTATGGATCCACAACATAAATAAATGGGCTGGGGTTGGGCACTTGCAGTAGATGAGGCCAACCTGGGTCGAATCTCTGGCACCCGAGCCCCCCAGCAGTGATCCCTGAATGCAGAGCCAGGAGTGAGTCCTGCGCACCCAGGTGTGGGACACACACACACACACAAATATATATATATAATTAAAAAATAATAAATAAAGACTATGAACCCCTGGTCCCTAACTAGAACTGAGCCATAACTCCAGGTCTCCAAGGGCCTGTCCCATGCCCTGGACTGGTCAGTTTACTGCACATGTGCCCCTAACTGGAGGAGTCGGGAGTGGAAGAGGCAGTGCACTGTCTTTTAGTTCCACAATCAGGGCCACATTGTCTTGAGATGTTATTACATTTGCAAGTTTGCAGGAGGCCAAAGTGGAAGGATCGGTCTCATGGGTCCAAAGAAAAGCTGAACCCACAGAATCTGTGTACAGTCCCATGTATACAAGGACAGGAGTCCTTGTCATGACATGTATACATGTATACAAGGGCATGCGCACAAGGATAGGCCCATGCCTGGAACAAAGTTGTAACTCTTGACATTAGGGAAGCCAAGTAGATTGTAAGGAAGGTTTTTTACAGCCTACTGTTCTGTCCTGAGCTTGCGTAATAGCCAGGAAGATGTGGAGGGGGGGCGGGGGTGGTCAAAAGGTCAGGATGGAGTTCCACGCGGCTCCAGGAGAAGCTAGGTCATTCTAATCTGGAGATGAGAGAGGCAACAACCTTCAGACTGCCTCTGGCTAGCATGGGCATCCTTAAGTAACGAAACGGAAGCACAGGGCCACAACACCCAGCAGGCCTCTGTGTCCAAGGCCCCATGCCTTCCAGTTTTCTTAGGAGTGTGTCGAGCCTGAGCAAGCCACCCCAGTAAGCCCGCCCCTACCAGGTGAGGCTGTCCACTGAGGAGCACACAAAGAGGGTTTGCTAGACACAGACCTGGATGTCCACACAAGGGATGACACGCTTGCTCCATTTCAGTCCCCAGGACAGGCCCAGTGATGTCCAGGCTCATTGAACCCTCCTCCCAGCTGAGGTGATAGGAGACCAGAAAACTGAGAAAAAGGAAGGACAGGACCTTTGCCCACTAACGCGTCCATTCTTCCAAAGCTCTGCTTTCCCACTTAGTCTCTGGGGGACTCTGAGGAGCTCCTCAGGGGAGAAGACGGAGCAAGCCTGAGCCCCCCTGAGTGGCCCCCTCTTCTAGGAAGGCTGGAGTCCACTGCTGCTACTCTAGGGGACAGCATGTGTGTGTGGGGAGGGGTGGGATGGGGAGTAAGAACCTGGGTTTTGGGGGTTTCTAACAAACAATACAAAGAAGGAGGAAAGAAAAGTTGCGGTGGATCCCAGATCCCAGCTACACTTTGGAATCCACCGGGCAGGAAGCCCTTGTTCCTCCAGCCGGGACCTCTACACCTAAGCCTCGTTTCCTGGCATTTGGCTCCGCTGAACCAGACACCGGCTGTTTTGTTTTGTTCCTTTCTGTTCTTTCTTTTATTTGGGGGTGGGAGGCTTGCAAATCAGCCCTCCCCCCAACCGGAGCCACCCCAGTCGGCGGACCTACGACTCGCTCCTCGGCCCCCCGTCGAGCCCCGCGCCCCCCGATCGCCGGCCGGCCTGGGGGGGGGGGGGGAGGAACGGAAACCAACTGGCTTTGTTTACCACGCAGCTCCCCAGCTGATTCCATCTCGGGGTGCGCCGGGCGGCGCGGCGGCCCTGGGTCCGGCCGGCTCCCCGCTCCCCGGGGGCGCCCCCCGGCCCGCCCGTCCCCCCTCTCAGCCCCCCCGAGCGTCCCCCCCCGCTCGGGGATCCTCCCCCCCGGCCCGATCCCGCACTCACGATGCACTCGCGGACCCTCTCGTGGAACAACTGCTCTCGCACGGCTAGCACTTCGTAGTCAGCTGCTTCCATACTCTGCTCAGCATGACTGGGGCGGGGGGCGTCTCCGGGCCCGGGGGGGGACGAGCGGGGGGAGGGGGAGCCGCCGCCGCCGCCGCCGCCGCCGAGCACCCGGACCCAGCCGCAGAGCCCGTCCTCGCAGCCGGCGACGGAAACTCGGGGCAATCTGGGGCTCGGATTCAGGCGCCGGGACGCCCCGCCCTTAAAGGGGCGGGCACCGCCGGGCTGCTCTTTCAAAGAGTTCCGGCCCCTCGCGGCACCCTCCCCTTTAAGAGTCGGTCTCCGGCGCGCTTCCCGCAAACGCCCGCCGCGCTCGGGAGCAGCGCGGGCCGCCCCGGAGTCCTGCGGGAGCCCCGAGTGACGACGCGAGGCGGGGGCGGGGAATGCGTCCAGGAAGGCGAGCTCATTGGCTCGGAGGGTGGCCACTCACCGCTCGAGGAGCGCTGATTGATTGCGTGTGGGAGGAGGCGGGACCTTAGGCATAGGCCCCTTATAAGGGCGCCCATTCAAAATGCCAAGCTGGAGCGCTCGCCTCCCTCTGCGCGGCCCTGGGATTCTTGAGTTTTAGGAACAACTAGGATTTTTACCGTGGCCGGGGTTAATCGAGCTGATCGGTTTTTTGTTTTTTTTAGCTTTTTGGGTCACACCTGGCGATGCACAGGGGTTACTCCTGTAACCAACCCCTGTTACTCCTGGCTCTGCACTCAGGAATTACTCCTGGCGGCGCTCAGGGGACCACATGGGATGCTGGGAATCGAACCGTGTGCAAGGCAAATGCCCTACCCGCTGTGCTATTGCTCCAGCCCCTAAACGAGCTGTTTGAACCAGGCCAGCCTAGTAAGAGAGTCCCGTGGTACTGCTACCCAGTAACCCAAGACCTTAGTAACATTTTCTGGAAAGCGTTTGTGCTGCGGAGTTGCAGGGACTCTGCCGCCAATTTTCACTGTCACTCCTGTAGAAGCCCTAGAACATGCTAGAGCAAATACTTAGGAAAATTGGATCCAGAGCGACAGAAATAATACCCTTTGAAACGTTTTGAGAAATGTCTACATGGGGACCATTGGTGAGCGGAGTTCAAACAGCTGGTCACCTGTGCGCCATTCACTTTATAGAGTGTCATTTTAGCATGGCAACAGCCCTTCAGAGTAAGTGTTTAGCATTTTAGGGATTAGAAAATGCTGAGAGCTGGCATGCCCAAGGTCACACCACGAAGGGATGCAAGTCACATTGGTACTGTCTGAGGAATTCCCATCTTTATGGAGTAACTGCTCTACACTGGAAAAAGCTGTTAAGGTAAATTTAAAAGACTGCATCCTGGGGCCAGAGCGATAGCATAATGGGTAGGGCGTTTGCCTTGTATGTGGCTGAGTCAGGTTAGACTCCTGGCAATCATATATGGTCCCCAGAGCACCACCAGGAGTGTAGGAGTAACCCCTGAGCATTGCTGGGTGTGGCCTGTAAAATAAAAGGCTAAATTTTGCGAACAGTTTTGCCTACTGAGGACTGTGCTCCAGGCAAGGGCCTGACCTTTTGTTTTTATTCCTAAGACTCACTAAATAGTCCCAAGCCACCTCCCACAGCTCTCCTTTCTATCCTTGGTGCAGAGCAAAAAACTCAGCCCACTGGACTTTTATATATACACACATATGCAAGTATATGCTTTTTATTTCCCAAGTTTCAACTGCATATTGCAAACAAGAGACTGGAATAATTTGCTCTAGAGAAACTACAAGGGTACAGAATTCAATTGCTTAATTCTGGCTTCTGATTCTTGTTCAGATAGTAATTGGACCAGCCCCTTAAAAAAAAAAAGACCTGGGGGGCTGGAGCAATAGCACAGCAGGTAGGGCGTTTACCTTGCACGCAGCCGACCTAGGTTCCATTCCCAGCATCCCATATGGTCCCCCGAGCACCACCAGAAGTAATTCCTGAGTGCGTGAACCAGGAGTAACTCCTGTGCATCGCCGGGTGTGACACCCCACAAAAAAAAAAAAAAAGACCTGGTCTTAGGGCCAGAGCAATAGTACAGTGGTGTTTGCTGGGGTTATCCCTGGCACCCCATATGGTCCTTCAAGCCTGCCGGAAATGATCCTGAGCACAGAGCCAGAAAAAAACCCTGCACACCACTAGGTGTGGCCCCAAAACAAAAACAAAAAAAAATCATTTTTACTTAAATATTCATCTGCCTTTGGCCAGGGTGATCACTCAAAGGATTACAGCACATTTGTTGCATGCAAAAGTTCCTGGTTGGATCCATACTGCACAGGACCCAAGGGAGTAAACCACAGCCTGCACCAGCTCCACTGGTTGCTCTAGAGAAAAAACAAAGTGATCCAAAAACGGAAAAACATGTTTTTCATCCATCTTGAGCCAAGATGCAACAGCTGTAAAGCACATGCTTTGAATGTGTGGGTTTACCTCAGATACACACCACACACACCCTAAAAAAATTTACTCATCTTGGGGCCAGAGAAATAGTATAAGAATTAGGCACTTGCCTTGCGCACACCCTACCATGATTCAAACCCTGACACCTCATATGATTCCCTGAGCACTGCCAGAAGTAAGACCAAAGCACCACAAGTCATGAACTATAAACAGCAAATCATCCACCTGAGGCCAGAGAGAGACTGCAACAGGCAAGGCACTTGTCTTGCATGTCTGCCAACCAGGTTCAATCCCTGGCATCACGCGTGGTCCCCCTACCCAATTTTCCAGGAGTGATCCCTAAGCTCAGAGCCAAGAGTAAGTCCTAGCCGGAGTGATAGTACAGCGGGGAGAGCATTTGACCTGCAGCTGACCTGGGTTAGAAAGCTGGCATCGGGGCTGGAGCCATAGCACAGCGGGTAGGGCGTTTGCCTTGCACGCGGCCGACCCGGGTTCGATTCCCAGCATCCTATATGGTCCCCCAAGCACCGCCAGGAGTGATTCCTGAGTGCAAAGCCAGAAGTAACCCCTGAGCATCGCCGGGTGTGACCCAAAAAAAGGAAAAAAAAAAAGCTGGCATCCCACATGGTTCCCCGAGCACTGCCAGGAGTCATTCCAGAGTGGAGAGACAGGAGTAACCCCTGAGCACCACCGGGTGTGAACCAAAATGTCCTCCTCCCCTCAAAAAAAGAGTAAGCCGGGTGTGGCCCACAAGCAAACAGGCCAAAAAAGAAAAATTTACTCATCTTAAAAATCAGCCTAAAATGACTTTAGAGCTTATACAGCGGAAGAATTTGAGCTATACTACACATGCTATGTTTTATTTAGTTTATTTTAGTCATATTCAAATAAAGATTTACAAGAAAAGTTAAAAATAATTGTAGGGGCCAGACTAGTATATCTGGTAGGGTATTTGCCTTGCACAAGGCTGACCTGGGTTTGATTCCTGGCACCCTTTGTGGTCCCCTGAGCCCACCAGAAGTGATCCCTGAATAGAGCCAGAAGAAAGACCTGAGAATCACTGGGTGTGGAGCAAAAACAAAATTATGGATCTCCCCAAAAATCTGTATGGTACATATAAGCAGTGTATTACTACCGGACTGTAAGAAATGAAATTAACAAAACAAAAACCAACATAGAAAAGAGAGGCCTGAGTGACATACAGTGGGTAGAGTGCTTGCCTTGCACACAACTGACCTGGGTTCAATCCCTGGCGCCCCATATTCCTCTGAGCCCACCAGAAGTGATTCCTGAGCACAAAGTCAGGAGTAAGCCCTGAACACCAGGTGTGGCCTAAAAACAGACAGAGAGGGCTGGAGCAATATCACAGTGGGTAAGGCGTTTGCCTTACACATGGCCAACCCAGATTCGATTCCCAGCATCCCATATGGTCCCCCGAGCACCACCAGGAGTGATTCTTGAGTGCAAAGCCAGGAGTAACCCCTGAGCATCGCTGGGTGTGACCCAAAAAGAAAAAAAAAGACAGAGAGAGAAAGAGAGAGAGAGAGAGACGGAGAGACAAAGAGAGAGAGAGACGGAGAGACAAAGAGAGAGAGAGAGACGGAGAGACAAAGAGAGAGAGAGAAAGAGAGAGAGACGGAGAGACAAAGAGAGAGAGAGACAAAGAGAGAGAGAGACGGAGAGACAAAGAGAGAGAGAGACAGAGAGAGAGAGAGAGAGGCACAAGAGCAGGTTTCTCCAGAGTGGAAATAAGCAAGCGAAGAAACTTAGAAACAAGAAAGCAAGATACATGGTGAAGGGAGAACATGGGTTTAAAGAGCAAAAATGGTGTTAGAGAGGAGCTTTTACACAAATTCTTCCAAATGGATATTTTCTGGGTTTTTTTTGGGGGGTGTCATACCTGGCAATGCTCAGGGGTTCCTCCTGGCTCATGCACTCAGGAATTACTCCTGGCGGTGCTCAGGGGACCATATGGGATGCTGGGAATCGAACCCGGGTCGGCCGCATGTAAGGCAAACGTCCTACCCACTGTGCTATTGCTCCAGCCCCCCAAATGGATATTTTCTTCTGGAGTTTTGCATACATAAAAGTTAATCTTCATGCTGTCACAGGAAAGCCTTGCACTGTTCATCTTCTCATAACGTTACTCTTCCTTTGCATGTTGATGATCCCTTTGTCATTTCAGATTCTTCTCCTCTTCTGAAAATCCATGCTTCTCTGGGTGGAATCTTGGATTTCTCCACCTGGGTGGTGCCTCCATTTATTTTCTCTAAAATATTTAGGATTTGTATGTGTCAGAGGGATGTGACACATTCAAATGGGCCACTGCAAGGCGAGGTAATCTTTTTTGGGGGGGAGGCAGAGGGTTTGCGATCACACTTGGTAATGCTCATGGGCTTCCTCTGGCTCTTGCATTCAGGATTTACTCCTTTACTCTGAGAGGTGCTTGGAGGACCATATAGGATTCCAGAGATTGAACAGCCGTGTGCAAGGCTTTAGCGGCTTAGCTGCTGTACTGTACTGGAGACAGCCCCTACCTATAGCACATCGTAATCTATTCTTAATTCTTATTATTTCCTGGGAATACATTAATGAAGAGATAGTACAGCAGTAGGGCATTTGCCTTGTACATGGCTCACCCAGGTTTGATTCTGACATTCCATATGCTTCCCTGAG